GGATTACTGGGTTATTCAGCATATGTGCAAACAGAAGGGCTCTGATGAAAGAGATCAGAGTTCCTATCTTAGATTCTTAGAGACTAAACCTCGGAAATTAGCTAAAACTGGTCCAGGGATGCAAATGCAACTCATAAAAAAAAAAAGCAAACAGCCGGGTGTGGTGGCGCACGCCTGTAGTCCCAGCACTCTGGAGGCTGAGGCAGGAGGATCGCTGTGAGTTTGAGACCAGCCTGGGCTACATAGTGAGTTCCAGGTCAGTCTCAACTACATAGTGAGACCCCGTCTCAAAAAAAATAAAAAAAAGCAAACAAAACCAGGGTGGTTTCTCAGACAGAAATAATAGACAGAAATGTAATTGAAATAGTTACAAGAGTAAGGAGGAAGTATTATTCAGAAAAAGCAGGGATGGTCAGTGTAGCAGTCAGAGAAAAGGGAGACATGGGTGGCAGTGAGCTGTTGTATATGGTCTTAATGAGAAGTGAGGACAGTTGGAGGGAAGGCTGGGGAGGAGCTACAATAGCTACACATTCAGTTCACCTGTTCTAAAGTGACATACAGTGCTGGCCACCTAACTAGTCTTCAAGGAGCAGGATTGTGTGATTAGTTTACCTGGAAATCACTGCTCTCACAATGAACTGGTAAATTTACACCTAAAGTAAAAGTGACTCTTGTAGGACCTAATACACTAACTTAGCTGCATAAATCTAATACACTCAGCACTGCTGAAATGAGGAGTCTCTAGTCTCACCAGAGAAAGTTGTGTCTCTTCAAAAAAATGGTGAAAGTGTAGCCCACAGCCTGGTTGACTGGCACTCAGAGAAAGGCACTTAAAACTATATTTACCTTTAATCCTTTTTATGGCATTTATTTTTCAGCTAATATTTATTAAAATTTTAAAGATAAGAATTGCAGAAGTGATGAAAACTTCATTTTTTTCTGGTATAAGTCATCAGTATATCACTAGGCATACATTTTTATATCTCTCATTTCTTTTACTTAAATATCAAATTCTTAAGTGCAAGTCCTATGTCCCTCAGAAGCCCGTGGTGCCTCTTTCATGGCGTGCTTTACTTTCCCCCTTGGTCTACTAAACTATAGATGCTAGATCGATACATAGATAGACAGATAGTGCTTTATCTTCCAGTATAAGATGTAGTTTCCGTCAGAATTCATTTAATATGCTATCACAGTATTCTATATACTCGGCCACAGATGGATGCTTCTTGAAGTAAATCAGTGTCATTATCAAAAATATTCTCTTCCCAGTATGCATTAATTGAGCCATTCCAGAAACGCCTACAAAATAGAACTAGCTACTGTAGTAAACAGGGTGATTTCTTTAGGAAAATAATTTCTGATAGTATATTCTGTTCTCATGCATTTGCTTACAGTTTTACCACTTCTTTCATTTTATAAGTAAATGACTTAGCAAGATGTTAAATTGCCCAAGAAGCTGTAAGGGAAACCATCATTTTATTTTCACGGTTACTTGACAATAAAATGGTTGGAAGGTAACAGCTTATGTCAATTGATGAAGTAAAATTATTCCAATTGAGGAGAAGAAACCAAAAGGCAGTTTAATAATCATCCTGTATTCTAAAAGGCAAATCGCAGAACCATGAAGCTGCCTTGACTTGCACCTTCCTCTTGCTGGGTACAGGGTACTTCTCTACTGACACAATACAGCCACATCCAGAATGCAAACCTCCCGGCCATAGGCCTAAACATTGCTGCCTGCAGGAAAGCTCATCGTAAGTTGGCAAAGAAGGAATCCACCAAACATGTCATATACTCTCCTCAGCATCCTTGGAAGCACCAAGACCACCTCTGCCCATAGAATGCACTGGTGAGAAAGAAAGAGAGAGAGAGAGAGAGAGAGAGAGAGAG